GAATTTTGCCTCTTTTCAGACTGATTGACCACTGCGCGTCTGTTTGCGGAACCTTAATTAGACATATGGCTAAACTGCAAGCCTTGGAAGACTAGGGACTTTCAGTTGATGCCCTTGAGCTGTACGAGGACACAAGCAGAGCAATGCTCCCAACGTCATGTACACCTCATGATGTCTGTGGCAGTTGCCTTCGTCAGGGTTCTCGCAGAACAGTGTACGCCTGTGTATAGGAAATAATGATAAGGTTTGAGAAGGATATGCCACAGTGACGGCCGTTAAAAAACTCCCCGCATGAGGAGAAAAAGGTGCATCGTGCGGGCTTTGACCACTCAGGTTTGCTTGAGGATTTCCAGCTCCTTTTCAGGTCCTTTCACGACGTGCCAGCAAGCATACACCCTTGAAACATCTGGCATCCTAGATCTCAGTGGGGAGGGCATAATTGGCACTTGCAAGAAAGATGGCCCAGCCAGACAAGATTGACAAGCACTACCTGCTAATCCTGCAGACCAACAAGCAGGATTGAACAGATGTGCTTCAAGCCTGCCGATACCTCGATTCTGCATGGCTTTGCGTAAGCTTGTCAGGGTGCTGCCAATCCCCCAAAAAACAAGGTCTGCTGAAATATGACGGCATGTTTGGATGCATTGAATAAGCAGCACATGCAAGACATTGATGGCCAGAAAAGAAGGAAAAGGATGCCTCCCCTTTTATGCTTGTCGAGCGTCCATCTCATTCCCTGACTTTCCGCCTGCCTGTAAGTAGCGTAGCTGCCTGCAGTTTTCCGGGCATGGCAATGCCATGTCCTGCTGTCTTTGGCAGGCTGTTTAACGGCCCTGCCTCAGTATGTTTTGCAGCTTTTGTTGGACAGGCCCAGCTAACGTTGGGTGTTGGTTCAAGAATTGATTGTTTGGTGTGGCGCCGCGCTTGCGGTGGCAGCTCCTTACACCTTTGGGTCGGCGGAGGCACTACGGATGCGGCTGGGCAGCCAGCTGTGTGTTTTAGCGGCTACTCATGATGCAGGGTGCTGTTTTACGCCCGTTTTACGCAGCCCTGGCCGCCATGGTAACGGTTAAAGCAGGCGCCCGTTACCGCCTGATCGTTTCGAGTCATGTACGTCATCAGTGTCACTATAGATGATATGTATGTATATGTATGTTCAAAATCGCCACATTCAATTGCATTGAGGTACTCGAACCCAATGACACATTACCTGCATGCACTTGATCAAGCGTTCGATTCCTAGCAATAACAACAGAATGCCGCCCAGAGTCGAGTCCGGACATTCGAATTACAGCGGCCGTAGATCGTCAATTACGAACTATCCGGCCCGGGTCTGCCGGAGACCGTGCTCGATCTATGGTTCTAACGTGGCTACTAAAGGGCGTTGAATACATGATCCAAGTCACCATTATCACTGTAACAAAGAATTACCACGTGGTACGCCGCAGACTGCGGTCAGGGCCACTGATGCAGTGTGGCGCTCATTTAAAAGCATGCAAACGGCGCAGATTGGCTGTGGGCCGGCCGTTGCCAATGCAGCCGCAAGGCTATGACTATGCATGAGCAAGGAATGTCCAAACGGCGTCAATCCGCACAATTATCCCCCAGGATAGTTCAATGGACAGCCCGATACATCTTGTTTAGGCTACATAATGGCCGGTCTTACAACAAGTCATTACAATTCCAACAACTGGTAGCATTACTCAACACGTGCAAACGACCCGGAGCACTTCTGAATACCGGCTACTCCATTGCAGATTTGTGCAGGTAATGTTAACCGTCTTCCAAAAAAAGGCTTCCGAAACCGCAAAGCGTCTATATTTACCTTACGTTTTACGTGTAGTTGCCCTAATAGCCTTCCATCTAATTTACCGCCAGTAGGACATTGCTGTACTGACCGCAGAATTCGTTGCAGTATTATACCGCAGCAAGAACAAACTACTTATATCAACAAGCACACAACGTTATGGACGGGCGCTTATAACCTGCGCATACCAAGCACGACTGACTTTGACTGACCCCGATCTCCACAAGACGCCAATCCGCATCATTAGCACCATGGAAAACGCTGCCGCCTAATTGCTTCTTCCAACTAGCTTCTACGACCGCCCCGCTTTGTAGCTGACGTCTTTTTGGTGGGCGTTGGCGGATTGACCGGCGTCTTTTGCATCGAGGCTTGCACCCGCTTCAGATCGACGTAGATGCTCGCCTGTTCCTCGCTAAGTCCCTGGCAGCAAAAAGGCGAACAAAGATGTATATCGACACGCATCCTAGAAGTTGGATTATATTTACGGGTGCTTTCTATAAAGCCACAAGTGACATCCGCTGCAGACCGTTGCCTTTGAATGGAGGCTTGCCACCACGTAGGGCCGCTTTTTGACGACCAGTGGAACGGCCCCTATGCATCGATCTACAACCGATCAACACCAAAAGTCAAAGGCGACAGTGAAAAGCGACACCTTGGCTTCCTTGGTCGCCACAAACGATTGCGGCTGTCAAAACCAGAGCGACGGAAACAGAAGAGGCGTGCAACCGAACGCTTCTAGGCAGTCTCCTCTACATTTGAAAGAAGCAACAGTCTTAGCGCAGACGAATTCGATCCGATGAGCGTGGGCAAACGATGGGACAGTAACAAGAAGGGCAAGTCAAACCCAAATCCGGCTTGAGATCCTCACAGCGACCTTTTCGAGGATCTTGGTAGTGCATTCTCAGGCAACTACGTTAATGCAATCTCGAACGAATGTTGACACTATGCGACTCCAATGCGGCCCGAGCGCAAGCAAGGGTTGGAGGGGTGAAGCGTTTTGGGGTTTTAGGGGACCTACTGCAAAAGTGCCCACTAAGAACTTGGTAACTCAATCGCGCACTGGGGCCGGCAGCGTCAAACTCTGTTCTCACCTTCAGCTGTTCCGACAGTGTTGCCACTTGTGCCCGGGGCCCAACTCTCTCGTGTTCCAGCGTCGAAATCTCGGTGTGAATCCGCTCCGCCTCGCCTCCCGGGGCGTTCCAAGCCTGCTGGGTGGCCAGCGCACGGCCGAACCGCTCTTGAAGCTCCTGTTGAAGGGTGGGTTAACGGAGGTTCAGAAGTGGGTTGTAGGGGGTTAACAAGTGGGTTCATAGATGGATTGAAGGTGGGTTAAAAGTGGGCAAGTGCTGGGTTGCATGGTGGGTGAGAAAGTGGGTAACAAGATGATGGGGAGGTGGCGTGCTGGGGCTGTTGCGCCTCGAGACGCAACGTAAAGGAGCTTTCGTGGAAAAGACGTGCTGTAGGCATTGTCTACGCAGTGAGATGTTCGCAAGAAGACAGTGCCAAGATAGAGGTATTTCCAGGCGAGTATGACAGTTTTTGGTAGAGATCAAAGAATCACTGGGGCTCTTTAGACCACGTTATGCAAAGCATTGACGAACAGAGTGGCCATTAGTCACTGAATGAAGATTCGCCTCTCTCCCATTCTGTGATGGGGGGTTCATAAAGGACCGAAAAATAAGAGCAATCGTTGAGAAGGTAAAAGAAGATGTCTAGCAGGTCACCGCTTACTCTCAGTTCCGACAACGCCCGCCGCGCTTGGCTCAGTGTCTCCAGGCCCTCCGAATGACATTGCGCCAGGCTGTAATTCATCCTCACGTCCTCACCCCCTCCCTCAAACTCCACCCCATTCGACTCTAACCGGCACCCATCTAACGAAACCATCCGAGGGATCCCCCCAGTTCTGCCCCTCCCCAGAATGAACGCCTTGTACTCCAGCGCAGCCGCCCCGGTCTCGAACAGCAGCGTATCTCGGCACGCGTTGCGAACTACCGCCTCGAGGTCCTTTTTCGTTTCGGGGGGGATGTCACTCGGTAACCGCACCAGGTTAGCCGCGTAACCGATGCACCCGTCGAAGCGCGGGTTCGGCCCCGGGTTGTGCGGCCGCGCAAACCCGTCAAACCGCATGAACGGGATGTCCCCATACCGATCATTCCGGCCCTTCAAGAACTTTATGCACGCGTCTTTCGCTTCTTGATTCCTGACGACCAGCCAGCAGAGCTTCTGGGGGCCGAAAACGAGCGACGCCAACGCCCGGCAGACGCGCGGCTCGTCGGCTTGCGCCAAATCGCCCAGAACCCCGACAACCCCGTACGGTCCGAGATGGCGCTTGAGCGCCCGGACCCGCCGCACGAGGGACGTCTGCGGACCGTTGCTGACGTCATCGCCCAGCTGGGGCCCCTGTAGGGCGCTCTGCTCCTCGGCAATCCGTTCGTCGATCCGGAACCGGACGGCATCGAGGTTGTCCGGAGTGAGGGGGACGTCCGCAGGGAGAAGTGGGGAGAAGTGGGCTTGGAATCGTTGGCCGTACTGCGTGAAAGCCTGTTCGGCTGACTCTACCTGCGCGTACAGTAGGTTGTCAGGAGCCGCTCTGGTACAGTTATGGAATCTCCGTACGCCAAGTGAAAGCAGCCCCACAAAGCTCCAAGCCAATCAAGGGTGCAAAGATGCAGGAGGTCGGAAACGGGCCAGGGAAAAGAATACTGAAAGAGACGCATATCCAAAAGAGGCACACAAAGGCGACGTGACAATGAGAAGACGGAGAAAATCAGGGGAGAAAGAAAAGAATACATAAACAAAGAGACGAAAAGAAGAAAAGAGAGGTCATTGACGGAGTACCATGCGGAAAAGACACGCGTACTTCGACCTTGTTTTGTGCAGCTGCTCCAACAGCCACCCAAGAGGGAACCAAGCAGGGGAAAATGCGAGAAGAAATAGCAGACATCAAAGAGCTAAACGAACAACCCCACTGCCAGACGATACATGGAACTGGCCTTCTTTGCACAGAAACGAGAAAGAAAGACAGAGCGAAAACTGCAGAGATAGCGGAAGGCACTCTCGCATAGAGAAAAGTGGTTTCTCCCTCAAAGGACTCAACCAAATGGTCCTTTTCAATCGGCTGATTGGAGCGCACCTCAACTTCGCGCTCTCGCAAGTGCGCCCGGAGCATGGTAATCCTGGCCACCCGCTCTCCATCCTCTTTCCGCACCTCCTGCAGCTCGTGCTCGATCTCGGCCGCGCGCTCAGACACGGCGCGCACCTTGGCCTGGAGAGCGCGCTCCTCCTCAGCGGCAGCCGACTGGTTTGAGGGAATCGTAGGGGTTAGGGCCAAGGGTTAGGGGGGTTCTGAAGGTGAAAAGGTTTCGGGCCGAAAGTTGAGGGTTTGGAATTACCCAGACCCTTGAATCTGGACAGAAGCAAGAATGGCGCGCAGCTTGGTTTGTAGAGCGCGCTCCTCCTCAGCGGCGGCCGACTGTTGGGAGGGGAGACTTCAGGGGTTTTAGAGGTTTGGAAGATTGGAAAGCCCGGGTTCTTAGACCTCCTTAAGAAAGGCGCTCATCAACTTGTCTGCCTTTCTGTGGAGCACCATGCCGAGGAGGAAACGGAGAGCATCAAACTCTCGGGTTTTAAACCTTCTTAAGACTCGGTTCCCCTATAAAAAGGGGTGCCACCGTCAAAAAACCTAGAAGTTCCTGGGCGCCTCGGAAACGGGACCCAACCTATACAGACACTGTGACCGACTGGTGCTTTCAGGGATGTTCTCTTCGACCTCTGCGTTGGTCAAACGTCGGCGCACGTTAGGTATTGCCTGAAGAGCTCGCACCTGTCTGAAACGGCTTCAGTTCCTCGAAAGCAGCTGAGGGAAGGACAAAACTACCTTAGGTCTTTAGGACCTGAGTAGGGCCCGGGTTTTGAGACCTCGACAAAAAATGAACATCCTTCTTGAAAAACGGTGGAACTGAAAAGAGCACGCAGTTTGCCATTATATCGACTGCTCGTCTTCAGTGGTGGCTGCCTGGTAAGTGAAACCGGACCTTCGAGTTCTATTTCGAGGTTCTATGACCAATTCAGCAGAGTTCTTTCGAGGCGTTGTGACCAACTCGGCTGTTTCGGATCGAGGTTTTATGACCAACTCAGACGGCTGGGACGGCTTCTCAGTGTTGCGTACATGATCGCAAGCAAAAGCAACATGTTGCGTTCCAAGTCCTGGCTCAGACAACGATAGTGATTGGAAAGAATTGCTCTTATTCTCTCATTGAAAAGGAAGGGCAAATTGCTACTTCGACAGTGTCCATCCTTCGTTGCTTCTATTCTATCGAAGTTGGCCACTGACGATCCAGCATAAAAGCAAGAAAAGGGAGCTCCCTCTTACCAGCTCGGAGTCGTTGATGTAGTAGATTGGCGACGAGAACGCCTCGAGCCTGTCCGCTTCCACCCGCCAGTCGAAGAACCCGGTTGACCCGTCCTGGTTAAGCTTAACCTTATTGTGCAGGTTCAACCGGTCTTCAAACGGCGTCATGCGGAGGTCGTTCAGATCCCGCGGATTGGCACCAGAATCCTTACTAGAGGGATCCCTCGGGAGGAGCTCCAAAGTGGGCGGTTTTGCGTCCGGGTTTTTGGCGCCAGGCGTCAAGGTGAGGCGGAGCGGAATCTCCGACTCTAGTTCTTCACACTTGTTTCCGGCGGCGTCGACTAAAGGCAAAGAACAAGAGCGGTGTCAAGCAATCTTCAAGAATCGAGTATTTCCCGCATCTATTCTGGAGCATTCTCTTTTGTGCATTATGTCCGATCTCCTTTCTTCATGGGCTGTCACTCCAAACAGTCTCAGCGGAGACGTCGAGATACCCTTTCAAGAGACAGACACTGGTGGAGCTGCAAACCGAAGCGGCACTCTGTATTGGTCATTTTGAAGGCCGAAATGCAACAAATGGTACCAACGAAGCTCCCGAAGACTCGGTTCTTAGCCAGTAAATCTTGTATGGTGACTTGGGTGAACGTTCCGCGCCGCTTTGACAAGGAGGAAGGGCTACAACCGTGCCTGGAACAGCAAACTGCTCGTAACACCGTAGCGACAGGTAATTCACCCCCTATTTTTGTATATATTTGAATTCGAAGATTCACCCAGCCGTCTGGAATCTCCCATATTCTACACAAAAGGCGGTTATGGCTTTTTTTTGCCCGTTTTCAGCAGTCTGACGCTACCCATATAAATGTCGTTGATTTTACTTTTTCACCCTCGGATCTCAAACACCTTCGAAATGTTCACACTGAATCCAAATTCATTGTATTCAGGTGAAACTCCCGTGTCGCTACGATTCTGCGCTCCTGGGCTCGCATGGCATCTTGTACCCTGAGCAAAGTCAGCAAGGTCAGCCTGCTCCGTCCTTCTTCTCAGATTCAGGCAGGAGTCTCAACGAGGGTCAAACAGCCGACCTCGCTCGACATCATCGAGGATGCTGCGCGCTTCGAGTCCTTGTGGCAACCGAACTGCTGCGTTCCGGTGGTCTTTCATTTCGCAAAGGTCCGGAGGGCTTGCAGAAGGTCTAGTATTCATCAGCCGTCGTAAAGTCCGTGTATACCAAAAGAAACGTAGAAACTTGACCAGACTCCTCACCTACGGAGATCGTCACGCTGTTGATAAGCATGCATCTCGTCGCGTCGAACTGCTGGTTCTTCTTCGGGCCCCCATGCGTTATGATCTTCGCCGGAGGCCCCGCAACCACCGCCATGTGCGGCGCCACCGTCTCGCACATCTGCAGCGGCGGCTCCGATAGTTTATCGTCCACCTCCAATAGCAGCTCGTACTGCCCGATCGCCGCCGGCGCCATAACCTCCGGGAACACCGCCTGGATGGCGTCGTCGTTAGAAAACCGCGCCGCTTTCACCGGGGGGGGTGGATTCTGCCCGGAAGAGGCCCCCCTGCGCCCGAGGTGCTTCCACCGGACGCTGAAAGCATCCGGCGTTTTCATCGGCACCCGTTCTCCCGTCTCTCCCAACACAAACGCCTTCAAATCTCCCTCAGCGAAGACTCGCCCCCCGCTTGAGACTCTCGAAACCTTACCCCCCTCCTCTGGTATCTCAAACCCTAGCGTTTTCGGCACCTTTCCAGGAAGCACCCTCAGAACGAAATCCACGCTCAACTCCTGCCCGTTCTTCCCCTTCTCCTTGTAAACCGCCGTCGCTTTGCACTCCCGGATTCCCTCCCCCGTTTCCTCCCCCCGCCCCTCTAGGCAACTGACCCGCACGCTCCCCCCCCGCCGGACCTTCCTCCGTGCCTGGCCCTCGAAGCTGACGTCATCCGACGTCAGCGTGACCTCGGCGGCGTCTTCCAGCTGGTTGAACCCGTCCGATAACCCGAAAACCAACCCCCCGAGCTCCCCCCCGTTCTCCACCACCAGGTCCTCGGGCGCCAGCACCGTTAACCCGGTTGGCCGCCCCGGGGTTAACTCCAGGGTCACCTTAACCCGTTCCTTCCCGTCCTCCTTCTCGCCCTTCCATTTGATGTCGACCAACAGCGTCACGGTCTGCGCCGGACCTTTCAACGTCCCCGTAACCACCGCCGTCCTCCGATCCTTTTGGTCAATCTTCACGCCCCCCACTTCCACTTCGGGGGGGTCCTCCCCACCTCGAGTCGACTTCTTCCCCTTCACAACCGCCGTCACTTCGACCCCCCTGGGAAGCTTCGCCTGGTCCTCCCCAGTGTCGTCCTTGAAGCTAACCTTCAGGGTTATCGGCTCCCCGCTCCTAACCCGCTTCTCCGCCTCCACTCTCAGCACCGGCTTCTCTGCTGGGCCGGGGGGCACCTGAACCCGGGCTTTTTCACACCGCGGATTCGTCTTGATGTCCCAGCCATTGATTTGCAGTGTGAACTGGGCCGGGCCCGCGCGTGCCGGCACTTGTGCGTGCAGGCTCTCGGTCTCGTTCTCAAATGTGACGTGATCGACGATCTTCCCATTGCAGAGAACGGTGGCGGTGATGTTGGCGGGAAGGTGGATTCGTTCCGGGTGCGCGCTCTTGAGGCCGAGGCGCAGCCGGACGTTGCCCTTGGGACCCGCAGGCTTGCTGTCGACCTCGCACTGCAGAACGGATACTCAGCTGTTCGATCACTCTTCGCGGTCTTAGTTGGTTCAGATTTCAGGGATCAACAAAACTGTTTAAAAATTCTGTAAACACGGATATCCTAAGGGTCAAGGTCCAAGAACTCAAGTTCTGGGACTTTCCTTCTGTTCCAAAGTGGAGCCTCATAAAGCAGTGATTATCTTTGAAAGACCTCACGCCGATTACTCCCCTACGACGTCCATCATTGTAACTTCGACCGATGCAGGCGAGACTCGGCGGCTCTGACAGTCGCTTAACCACAATGTAGGCACCAGCCAAGGGGCACACAGCAAATCAACAAATCAAGCGGAAGAGCGCCCAGACAGGCATGGGTAAAAGCAAGCGGATTGACTAAGGAGAAAGAAAAGTTAAGTGAACTAAAGCACGCACCGTGGCCTCTGAGGGCAGCGTCTTGCGGTACGTCTCCGCCGCCTTCTTCTTCACGACCTGGCTCTTCATCAGCCACTCAACGCTGATGTCATCCACCTCGTCCCGCACGCCACGACATGTCAGCAGCGACACCTGCGCCGAACGCTCCCCCGCAGCGTCCTCACGCAGCGCGCGCAGGCTCACCATGTTGCCGTCGCGGCCCGAGCTACGGAGAATGGCGTTCAGGCGGACCTCCGAAGTGGACCTGCGCACACCGAAACGCTTTGCAAAGCTTCATGTGAAGTGTATCTGAATATGAATGTTGATGAATGTGTTCCAAGTTTTCCTCAAGGGGCTCACCATGTTCTCATTGCAGCGGGAGCTGCGGAGAATGGCGTTCAGCCGGACCTCCGAAGTGGACCTGCAAAAACCAACGCGTTTTGCAATGCTCGATGCGAAACGAAACTTACAGCGGAGTGGACCTTGCACCAAGTGCCTCTCGACTAGGGGAAACAAAACTCACTGATCGATTGTAAGGACTCTGCTTTCTGGCGGAGCGCCCGTTCGATCTCCCAAGCGTTTCAATTGCCCAAGACTTTCAATTACCCTTCACGAAACCCGCAGTAAACCCGCAGTAAAGTGGGTGTGTGAGACTCACGGTTCTCGGTTGCAGGGCCTGATGAAATAGTGGACTTAGAGGACAATCGACTCAACGTCAAAGCTGATGGATACAGGACATGCCTCGCTGAACTTGTGCCAACTATGCAAGCCTTCAAGTCGGAAATGTCTCCTGGTGCTCGTACTTTGCACGGAACAACTCACGAAAGCTCAAGGGCAAGAAAAGCAACAGAGAATAATGCAGGTGAAGAAAGATGAAAGAATAGTTAAGAGAGCACAGAGAGGAAAGTTCGAGGCCCACCCATCCATAGTGATGGTCGCCTTCTTGAAGTACTTGACACCGTCCTCCTCCCGGTCTAGTTCGTCGAAGTTGACGCTGCTGTCGAACTGCGCAAAGTACTCCAGAAGTTCCTCCACGTTCCGGCGCGTGAACTCGTCGACTCCCTTCGTCAGCGTCTCCAGAGGGGGCAGTCCGACGCGATCTTGTCCTTGGGGGGCATCGGCCGGTAGTGCTCCCCCAGGAAAATGACCCCCCGGAGACGCTCTTTTCCGGGAAGGGACCTGGGAAAAACACGGAGGAAAGTCACAACTTGAACGAAGATATCAAATATAGGCTACTCAGTCGGTCCATCTCAAGCGGTCTCGGTAATCACTTCATTTTGATGTTGGGAGAGGGTTAGGCGTTCCAAGAGCAGGTGGAACCAAGCAGAAACGCTTCTCAAGCACATTGTAATCGGGGAAACGCTCACAATCGCGCCGATCCCCAAGAATTTCTCGTTCCATTCCCCATCACTCCAATCCCGTTCCGTCCAAAACCGATAACGGAGGGAGGAAGACATCAGCATGAGCTGCTCGCTGGAGAAAAGAGTCGTGTCAATGCGTTTTGACCTGATGTTCTTGGGGGTGTAGCCCGCAATGCCGCCTCGGTGCTGCCACACGACCTGGAACATGTCCGGGTACAGGCTGGCGTAGTTGGGAATGCAGGGCCGCCCCAGGACGGTGTTGATTGTCCCTATGCACACCATCGCCGTCTTCTCCAGAAAGGAGGTGAGGGGCAGTCGCACCAGGCCCGGGTTGTTGTCGATCTGCAGGTGCGAAAAGCGAGCTCTGATGGGGATTTGCAACATGATAAAGCCGCAATCAAGTGCGTTCGGGGTGGGGAGTACAAGCGACAAAACCTGTAGTGTATAGGCCTTATCACCCGTGTGGTTGCAGAAAGCTGCTCTTGTCCACGAGCATCTGACCAACTTACGATCGAGTAGATTTCGGTTCGCCCCTCATGCCAGCTAGCGCCTGGGTCTTGGGATACCAGATAAACTGTCCGTCTCGAGATTCAAAACGGTGAGCCTTGGGGGAGTCTCAATCAGAAAATCAAGCGTTGAGAGAGGTCATGTCGGATCAAAGACAGCGCGGACCTAAGACAGGACAACAGAGCCAAAAACGGGTTCCTGAATGAAGCTGATGAGTCAGTGTTAGCATCTCCACTCTTTTTTGTCTGGCTCGGCGACCGTCCGTCGCTCTGTCCAGCTTTGCACCTCAAACCACCTTCTTCGCTGAAGCCTGTGCGGTCACGACGGGGTGCATCTTAATCCGTTGTTTTTAAAAGCACTGGCCCTCTTTGAAACACCATCGCCGCTCAGTTGTTTCTCTGAACGACGGCACCCTCACCGTGCTGAGCGCCACCTCCAGATTGGCCATCCGCGCCTCCCGCTCCTCAAACAGCTTCGTCATGTTGAACGTCACCACGATCGGCTGACGTTTCAAGCTCCGGAACTTCTCCCCTAGCGTCTTATCCAACTGCTGTTTTTCCTTCGGCTTTCCCCCCTCAAACAGCGGCGGAAGCGTGGACGGCAGTCCCTTCTCGATGTCGGCGAACGGGGAGCACACGGCGCAGAGAGCGGCGCGGAGCTGTTCGGAGCGTTCGCGGGTGTAGTGGTAGTCGTTGGTGAGGTGGAGGACGATGTGCGTGCCGTGCGGGGCGTTGCGGAAGAGGCTGCCGCCCTCGTCGTAGGGGACTTGCCACGACGTGTCCATCGAGTCCCAGATCTCCCTGTAGAAACGGATCGATTTTGAGGGGAACCATAATTCTCTGCAACTGTGCAACTCTGAGCTCCGCAACTGATTGATGTGAAGTCTCAGGTTTCCTGTGGGTGAATTATGTATACTATTGGCTTTTTCCACGCTATTCCTTACTGCATTTCCATTCAAAATATTCAATACGTATTGCCACCCACAGGTGGTGAAGCAAAGTGGAATTGTGCTAGGCAGAGTTTCGGCTCTCCATGGCAAGAATTAAGATGGAGCTGGCCTGCAGTTTGAGTAAAAAGAAGCTTGCAAAGATTGTAGAGCGAAGCCAGAAATCAGGACTCGCAAGTTGCATCCCGAAACTTCCCCTGATGTCTACTGCATGTATTGGTCCCATTTCGTAACTTTCTCTACCTGGTCTAGACGCCACCTGTGTAGCCACAACGAAGAGAACCACGCGACCATAAGATGCAGATCGAGCGCACAAACTGATCCTAAACCCCAACGCGGCAAGGGATGCTTAAAATATACAGGTACTCACTTCTTCAGATGGCAAGTCAGAGTCGGGCTGCCCTCCGCCTTCGTCATTATCGTAATTTCCTTGGCCACCGCAAACCCCGCAAACAGCCCGTACCCGTACTGACCGCTCGAAGCCGAAGTGGAGTTGCGACCCATCGGGGGTTTCTGATTTTGAACCTGCGCTCGGATCTCTTCTTTGCTCCGCTGACCTCTGCCTGTTCCGCTCAGTTTGATCGCCTTCTTGAACTGGTCGAGCGTCATGCCTGCAAAACAGGTGAAATGCGACAGGTCAAAGCATGGTTAAGGGAAGGGTGTTTTCCTGCGTTGGACTTTCTTGCCCTCCTAAAAAACTGAGAAAGGCGCTTCAATTTGGCAATAGGCTTGAACAGTGAAAGGCCATGAAAGCTCAGGAAGGTGGTTGCAGTGGAAGTGGTTAACCCTGACTTCCCCACTCTTTGTCCTTGACACTCCAACTGTGGAGCCTTCAACATTGGAGATACAAAAGCAGCTTCTTAGTATAGGCAACAAGCTGGCCATTCCAGACAGTTCATGAGAATGGAAGGGAAAAAGAAGGGGCACACACAAGATAGATACAAGGCCACAGTAACAGCTTGAGGGGGAGGAAGTAGAAAACAAGGACGGCAGGAAAACGGAGGAAACCAATTGCATGCCTACCTGGGCCATCGTCCCCAACTTCCAGTGTTGACCCTTCGAACTTCACCCACACGTTGCTTCCAACAATGGCCGCTCTATCTGCCAGCATCCGCAGAATGGCAGCGATTGAGTTGTCTGCATACTCAGTCACGACCCGCTCCAGAGTAGGGTAGAAGGCTGAGACATTGACACCGGCTCGCATGGGGGGCGTGACGTCCAGCCGGCTGCAAGGATAGTGTCGAGAAGGCAAGTTGTTAGCGCGTCAAGTGAGGGCGAAGTGACGCTCTAAATGGGGGGACAAGGGCCTCGTGTGAAGGGTGATTGTTAGCCAACACTCTGTTTGGGAGTGTCAGCATGAGACATTCTGATGCTCATGTGAACCAAACATCATAAGGAGTACCCGGAATACTTACTACTACAATACCTTGATGGTTGTAGGCATTTCCAAAAATGTGCAGAAATAGTAAGGTGCTAACACATGGTGCTGGTTGGTCGACCTTGGAAATCCTTTCCGATTCATCCCTGTGTATGCATTCACCTAAGCCCCCTGATTTCCAATTTTGAAAATTATTCAGCACGGGGTCCAGAACTGGCAAGCAAGCGGTTCAGAAGGACTCTCCCCCAGCTGCCAAGAACTTACGGGAATATTTTCTTCTGATTCAACAACTTATGCAGAATGTAAGCGGCCCCCATTTCAAGCGTCTCTTAAGAAACCAGTCCACAAGCACCCTCTCCTGGACACAAGCACGTACTGTCAATCACAATGAACCACTGCTTAATGTTATGCAGTGTTCAACAAATAAAGGAAGAGGAATCCTGGTGCCAACAAAGCTAAGTGAAGATGAACAAGCACGCAGCTTTCAGTTTACCAGGTTTCCAGAAAACTTACCACACCCTCAAGCCCCCACTCTGCACTGACACCAGCCCCTGCCCCGCCCCTCGAGCCACCTCCCGCTGAAGCGGAGTGTCAACTGCAGCCGATTCTGTTCGAGACGGTGACCCTTCTGATGAAGCAACCGGCGCCCTCCTCTCAACCTCCACGCTTGGGCCACTTTGGCCCTCTGCCCCCTCCCGACGCTTCTTCCAGTCCCTTCTAGTTGCAAGAGTCTCCGTGTATGCTAGAGTCTTCCTAGCTGGCGCGCGCGCAGGAGCCAGCCCCTTCTGCTTCTTTTGCGCAGGCTGCTGCAAATCATCCCCATCGCCAGCTCGCTTATTAGGAACTAGCGTTGGAACATTTTGCGCCACCTCGGTCTCCATGTTTTGACCGCTTGCCTCTTCCAGCTGGGTCACCCCTTGACCCGCGGACTCATCTTCCTCGTCTAGGTCGATGATCAAAGCCCCTGCAGGGACGGCTTTGCGGGGAGAGCGAACCGAAGCTGCAAAAGGCTCTGCCTTTGGCTCAATCCCATCTTTCTCAAGCGTCTCCATCTTTGCACGACGTACTTTCACTTTTGTCTCTCCTCTCAAATTCCTCTGCTTTTATCTGCTGCAAGTTGCGGCAAGCAGTAACTGAGTAAGTATCGGCTGCCTCGATTGCACTCGAGGCCAGAAATGTCTGCCGCGATTGCACTCGCGACGCTGCCCATTTGCACTCGCACAGGACTGCCTCCCGTCCCTTTCTTTGAAAGCGACTTGCATGCGACTGAAACCGTTTGCTGCCGTCGGTCTAGGGCGTTTTGAGTTGAACGGACGAGATGCATTGCGCTCTTCTCTCTGAGAATCTTGGATGGAAGCAAGGCCTTGCAAGATTAAATCTCCACCGTCCATTAAAACGCGCAATTCGAGGAGGGGATGGCGCGGAATTTCGGGCCCTACTTATCACCGTCGATTCAAGGGGGCTGATGGGACCGTCGATTATGCTTTTCGTTCTGATTCCGTTACCATTCTCTACCAAAGCGGCGGAACCATGCAAGTGCTGTGCAACGCCGGAAGGACGAGGGAGCACGCGAGAGCTAGCTAGCTGAAAGTCAGAATCATCTCCGAATCCTAGCTGCATGCAATTTGCAAACGGCCAGGGCGTCGTTTCTCGAGCGCCCATTTGGTGATCGAGGCTCTTGCAAAGTCTCTGCATTGTAAGCAGCCAATCTCGCAGATTGCTGAATGGTTTGAAACAAGGCAGGGTAGGCAAGCTTCTCTCTTGTGGTTATGGGACGTTGTTGTTTGTTTTCAGTCATTTGTTGGGCTTTTTAAACTTTTCAAACACGCCCAAAGCTTCACATTCGTTGAGTTTGATTCAAGAAAGTGTTTGGAAAGTAAGATCCTCGAGGGTATTGAGGTGATTGTTGGTCATGTAGCAGGTTTTGTCTACTGCTTTGTGATTTCTCATTTTTGCATTCACCTCCCTTTTCAACACAACCAGACGGTTGACAATCCCGGCCAATTCTTCAGAATGCAGTGAAACACAATCACAGCACAGACTCCATGAACGACGAGAGTGCAAAGGGAGCGCCTCGCTTTGACAACTTCTTCTGCTCTGCTTGGGCAGTTTGAAACCCTTAGTTGTTGATACAATAACCATTGAAAAGAGGTCCTGATCAGTAGTCTTGAGTAGTTTCGAATTTGCGTTTGTTCCGGTTCTTTTGAGTTAGCTCACTGCCTGGTACGGCTTCAGTTAGGGTGGGGGTTTAGGGTGGGGACGGGTGCGGAGCATGCTAGTTCTGGGTTCTAAATTCTACTTTCTTCAAGCCCGCGGAATTTACACACCTCAACATAGGTCTGATCTAAGATGAACTGAGATGTTTCTGATCACATGGAGAAGCTAATCAATCTATTCTGTGCAGACTGTTCAAAGGGCTACCAAAAGCATGGCGTCCACTAAGCCCGCCGAGTTGGACGGTCCGTCTGGAGCAAGCGATCCTGAAGCATATGGGGGAGGAGATGCAGACAAGAGTGCACAAGAAGGTGGTGCCGCCGCGGCGTTGCCTGTGGAGAGTGCCAGTCAAGACAAGGGCAAAGAAAAAGTCGTGGAGGAGGGGTCCGCCGAAGAGAAGACTGCACCTGATTCTAGGCGAGCACGCTGAGTACTTTAGAATACTCTTTCCTGAAAAGACAACACGTTGATTCTTCAGACTACTTTTTACATTGTAGGCTCGAGTGTTGAAGATGAGGTGTCCGTCATCTAGACAAAGTCACATTACGTCATCCTGATACTCCATTGAACAGCACAACCAACTACCTGAAAGTAAGTTGAGATGTTTGATTGTTCCAAAGGCTCCCTGTTCCTTGTTTCGCAACTCCTCCAACTTGAATCGAGTCGCTTTTAATCAAAGCGAGTTTGCCTACCGATTGCAGGCGGCCCTCTTTGAGCTTGTTCAAGAGCACTCATACTCCATACCTCAAAACAGACTCTTCTGTTCTTTTCGAAGCACCGCAAAGCCTTGCTTATGAATTGCACGCGTACACTTCTTAAAAACTTCCTTCATCTTCCTAAAATCGCTTCCTGAATCTTACTTTCTCACTGGTCGCAGTCGGTGCTTTCAGTGGACGCCCAAAAACTCTGGACTCGCTCCTTCATATAAGAGAGAAACGTCTTCCTCTTTATTTTCAACGACCCCTCTACGTCCATTCCTTATTAAGTCGCTCTCACTACAGCTCAGATTTTCCGCCATTTGCAGGCGACGTTCTGGAGGACGTTCGACCAATTGAACTCGGTTCTCATACCACCTCAACCATCGGTCTTTACATTCCGTCTTCTCAGTCGTTCTCTACAACGCCAGTTGCCGATTGCAGGCTTCGACAGTACTTCCTTCCTCTTCATCGAGTCGCGTGTCCTTCAAAGCCCGGGTCCCGTGAAATGGGCGGACACTTTCCTTAGAACCCTCCGACTCGCTCCTACATGTCACCATCAGAATACAAGGGAGTTGATTGATTGCAGGCTTTGCCACTACTTCCTTCCTCTTTATCAAGTCGCTTGTCTTCAAAGCCCAGGTCCCGTGAATTGGGCGGACACTTTTCCTTTGAACCTTCCGACTCGCTCCTACGTCACCATTCGAACACAAGGACGTTCCATTCTCCTGAATCGGTTCGTGTGTCACAAACTTGCTCATCACAAATGCAGGCGGACGCTTCTTGATGACGTCCGAAAGCACTCGGACTCGCTTCTGCATCCCGCGCTGGCCACTAAGGCGGTGCAGGCAGACGGGGAGTCCGAGGGGGGCAGCAAATACTGGAAGGACCTGGTGGACACATTCTTCGTACGAGGGGCGGCCAAGGGGTCGAAAGCACAGGACGACATGCTCTTCTTTGTTAGGAAGCATGTGAGTGGCAGTCGTGTCTGGACTGGTTGGACTTGGAGGTCGTTTATGTAGAGCGCTTATTTTCAGGCTTGAATTCCAGGCAAATTGCTAGAAGATGGAAGTGGTTTTGCCTTACTAGCGGATACCTCCGCTAGAGGAAGATTCAATTTCGTGCATAAAAGGGGCAGGAGAATGTTCCATTTCGAGATTTCCCTTCTTACGTTCACTCTGAAAGTAAAGTGCCTTCGTCGACCTCGCTTTAAGACCTTAACGTGCAAACTTCAGGTCATGGTCTTTCAATGTGAACACAAGCATGCTCACTCCGTTGATCAAGGTTCTTTGAACCACCATGTCACGTCTGTTTCTTTGAAGGTGCCGATCAACCGCCATATCTTATGGGATAGTCACCTCCAAATCGGTACCGAATCGTTATGATCGTTTTGGCAATTGGTGCAGTCATTTTAACAAACGTCCGCATAAACCGTTTTACCTCATTGACACCATCGTCCATGTTCCTGACATCAGCAGCCTGCTCCGCCGTGCAGAGTGTCATGCTGGAAGACCGGATGCAGCTTGCGGACGAGCTCGGACAGCTCACGCCGTCCGGCGTCCAGGGGCCAGGCCGACTTGCGCCTTTCTTCGTCAAGCGGTGGCAGCCGGACGTAAGGTTTCCTGGTTCTTCTTCTCTCCCTTATTTCTGTTCTCTTTTTGTAGCTGATACTTTTTTTCATACTCGGCCTTTTTATCGCTTCGTGCATCGACTTGGGGGCAGCAATCGCTTTGTCAAGTGCATTTTTTGATCGTGAGGGGCTTTTCAAAGTTCGTTTCTACACTCACTCACCGTCACAATCGGCACAGGATGAAGCGCATGACTGTCAGACGGTTACTCAGAACACAAGGGCGTTTAGACAGAGGATTTCTAGGCCTGTGACATTCCGCTACCTCTAAGAGTGCCAAAACGACCTCTCGTTTTTCAGGAACGACGAGCCACCTCGAATCACCACTTCCCAACCTTTTCTCGAATGAACTGCATATTGGTCATTCTTTGTAACGTTTATCTCTCGCAGTTGTCGTCGGTGCTGGGAAAGGGCAGCTCCAAGGGCGGGCCCAACTCGGAGAGCAACCAGCGGGAGTTCGTCGTCGACTGGCGGCGGACGTTCTACCTCAACCTGATTGCACATACCACGTTCGCGCTCACAGTCGCGGTCTGCAGGTAAGCCAGACGTCTTTCCTTTTCTTACGTAACGGATCTGGGCACTGATTGTTCATAGGACTTGCACATTTCTGTTCAGATTTCATGGTACGGAAACCCTCATCATATTGCCGACCGGATCCGGGCCGTTAGATCTTTGAAAGCCGTCGGTGATTGCGCGTGATTTCCAGCAAGTGCCGACGACCTCCTATAGAAAAGCGGAAAAAAGTCTTATCAGAAGCGAATGCCTGCTAGACAAGAGCTTCCAAGACTATACCAAAGGCTCTCTCGTAGTTTCTCACTCCCGTGAGGCACAGCAACAGTCGACAGAGCGACACTTGTGGGCCAGTTAGCATATGCAATGGGGTCAACGGGTCGCCCAGTCAGATCGTCAGCGATCAGAAAGGAGTACGGAAGCTACACCTCCTCCGTTGTTCCTCATTCGCAAGGAAATGGAGCATTGCCGCAGGGCAGGCAGTATGACAGATACTATCCGATGACGTCAGTGCATTGCCCATGTTGCAAGGCAGACAGAGCATTCGCACTCAGCAAGGAAAGCTCTGTGACAAACTCTTTCCCGTTCTTTCCCAATCGCAACGTTTTGGCATCACCGGAAGGTGGGCGGGCAATATTCAATGACGTCAGCGTATTGCCCATGTTGCAAGGCAGTCAGATTATTGTCAGTCGACAGACAGTTTGGTGCAGACTCTTTCCCGCTCCTTTCCAGTCGCAAGGCTTTGGAGCTTCACCGAAAGGCTGGCGGCGCTCCCGTCACACCCCTGTACAAAGTCACCAAGACCGTGTATGCCTCCCCCAGCCGTGCGCGCATTGACATGGACACGTCAAAGGTCAGCTTCGCATCCGTCCTTCCCCTCTCGTCGCTCATCCTTCCCGTTCAGGATTCGCTGCTTCTCGTCTTTAACATCTTCTTATTCTGCCGTGATTGCTCCCCTTTCTGGCTCTTGCAAGCTGGTGCAAAATGTATCATGCTCCACTTTCGTGGATACAGACTGGCTTCGGGGTCGATTGTTAGCTTGTTTACCTGCAATGAAGACGCAGAACGGCCGTTCAGTTTTGGTGGTATAGCGGGGCTCGTAGGTTCGTAGAGCCTTCACGAAGCTTGAATTTGCACTTCGTTTTGCCATAGCGGGCCAACCTCTTGCTCCAGTAGATGAAATAGCATCTGTCAATCACTGCGTTCCTGCAACACGGAGTGTGTCTTCTGCGGAAAAGCTCATGGGTCCTGTAAGGGGATCTTTCATGAGCTCCTTACTTGTATTCACGAAAGAGTCCGACATGGAACACGGATTTTATTGACTTGACTTTTTCTTGGACCTGGAACTGGTATTTCTCAAGTGCTGCATCTCTTAGGCTCACTTCCATTGAATGGAAGCCCTTTTGGATGGCAAGGAAAGAAACCGGGTGAAGGTCGTAGAAGAACGCAAAACGCAATCTCGACAAATGCCAGAGCCGCACCCGTCCCCGCTTCTCCACTTCATCACCATCCTAGAGTCGTCGACGGTACCGCTTTGTCAGTTTGAATCTACAATCCACACGCTAAGCTGGATAGCAAAGCAGTGCTTGAGAACCGCATTCAATGAAAATGCTGAAGGCCGATTCTTCCGTTGCAGGCCTCGCAAACCACGCCCGCATATCCAGACATCTGTTTTGCTGTCGACGATTACGACGACACTTTTGACTCCGTGGTGAGATAAACTAGTGCTTCCCGCTCTTCTTAAGCAGGTCTGGTTGTGCTTGAAGCCGCCTTTCGAGACACAGCTCTTATGGCCAGCATCGTCGCTTCTCTAGTTCGACGAGTGACAGTCACCGTTTGGCAGAGCGGCGGGAGATAGGGAGATAGCATTGCTTGACGTAAAGGCTCCAAAAAGATGTTTTGATGTCGCTTTTCTAGTTCGACGCGTGAAAGTCACCGTTTGGCAGAGCGGCGGGAGATTTGGAGATAACATTGTTTGACGTAAAGGCGCAGAAAGATGTTTTGGTGCATACTCGTGACTGTTGGTCCCTTTCTAACTCCACGTCGATGTCGCTGAAACAGTGCTAACCGTATGCAGGTTATCTCTGACCCCGACCACTGCTTCTGCGTCCTGCTTAATGCAAACGGGGGGGCGGCTTTCTCGGGCAGCGACCACAGCGGCACCCCCCGGACGAGCAAAGAGGCGAACGTCCTGGAGGAAACTGGGACCTCGCCAAAAGTGAGAACGGCTGCTTTTCCTGCCGTCCTTTGAAGGACAGATCAGATTGGGTGAAGCCTGGAGATATCATGCAGAGGTTTTTTTGTGTTCTTGTTCCATCGCCGCTGTCTGAAGAAAGCTTTGTATTGAAGCTGTGGGCATTGAGACGCCCAGTCAGTCGTTCCTTTGCAGACACCTCGCTGTTGCTTTCACGTCGCGTCTGGCCTGGAAAATTACTTTCCGACTCCCCGATCTGAATCCTTTGCCAGCAAACTCCAGAACGTTATTTCCCCTCGTCTGCAAATGTCCACGGATGACGTGTAAGCCAATCAGCTTTTGTTGATTGCCTCCTTACCGGCGTTCTCCTCAAATGTTGAAACTCAAAGTGTGCGGTGCGCTGCTGTGCAGGTTACATTATTCTCCGGCTTTGTGGGGTACGACCTGGTTAAGGAGGCGTTCAACAGTGAGTGTCGAACGCTCACCTGAGCAACTCTTTCGCTAGGGGCGCCGCCTCGTAGCTTCTTATTCTTCTTCAGCAACGCAGCTGCTTTTCAAACGTCTGCCCTCTCGAATAGAATCGAGGAGGTGTCCTGAGTATGTCAAGAATGTTCATGTCACGGCTAAGGTCCCGTGCTGATCTCAGTCAGCTGCCTTTCGGCTTTTCGGAGGTAAAGAATGTGATGAAACGGAGAGAACGGCCCTGGTATGGAAAGTCCAAGGGCTTTCAAGTGGGCTGTCGCTGTAGGAACAAGCAGGGTTTATACAGACAAAAAGAGCCCGGGCAAAAGTAGTGTCTTTTGTGGGAGCAATCCTTCCACATGATTCAAGTGTTGCCAGTGAGAGTTGCAATCTCGGCTGAAGGACGATGCTCCAACCGACAAGTTAGTAAGAAAGAAAGAAACTATGTACGGCACTCACATCCGTTGGGTTTCGGGGTTCGTCGATCAAAGGAGAACTGTCCACTGATCGTATCAATGTTCAGATGGAAAGGCAGTGCAAGGGTTCGACACAACGTGTTCTGCGTTCTCTGACGTAACACTGACGTAGAACGGTGGTGCAAGCATTTGACTTCGCGTTTTTTGGTGTCTGCTGACGTCCTTTGAGCGCCTGTTCACACTGGAGCCTTTTTTCGTTCCAGGCGGCCGCGGCCGCATGGGCGGTCTCTTCACCGCAACGTCCGGCCGGGCGGAGCGACTGGTGATGCGGGGACCAGGGGGCAGGGGGGAGGCTGACGTGGCAGTGTCGGGAGTGCGAGGTACGGACCTTTGCCGGATTCTTAGACCGCTCTGTTTGGACCTCTCCCAGATCTCAGGCTGACGTGGCAGGGTCGGGAGTGCGAGGTACGGGCTATTCTCGGAGATGCTTTTACGCCTTATTCGAACATGCGCTGAGCGATCTCAGCAACAACAACTTTTTCAATTGTTGGGCGACGAACTTTCCAAGCTTTCCCGTTTCTGAAGGGACAACACAATCAGACTCACGATGCATGTACTAAGAACATGCTTGAAAGTGATTGTCGGTGACCCTCTCATCATCGCATCGAAATCAAAATGTTTCTTCGCCTTCAGAAGGTTCCGGTCGTTAGAATGACGGAAAGACTTGGTTGTGGTTTTACTTCCATAGGCGAGGACCCACCAGACACAAAAAATGTTACAAGCATATCAAGGTCTGCGTCCTCCCCTGCTTACGGATTGTGGAAACGTGTGAACGAACGCCAATCTGTTCTCTTTCAGAAAGCGAGGGCTCCTCAAAAACAAAGGCCGACAAGACAGGCGGTGAAGAGCCGCAACCGTCAACCGATGACGACGCCAGCAGTCCGACCGCGCGGTTCGAGATGGAGCAGAACAAGAAGCGGCTAGGGTTTGGGGACTTCGCCAAAAAGGCGGCGGCAGCGGCAGCAACCACTGCACGCAATCTAGCTCAGGTGAGGTTTTGAGGGCTTGATGCTCTTGAGTTGCAAGTTGCGATTAATTTGTGAATATTCGGCTGTCTTTAGTTCATCATGATCTTGAGTCCATTTGATTTTTTGATCTGCAAAGAACGATTCAGGGCAGGGCTTGTTGGGACAAGGCTTTTCAGGATGCTTCGAAGGAGGCTACAAAAGCTGGTACGACGTCGAGGGATGTCGATGGGGATCCGTCGGAGGTCTTCGTCATTCCGGAGGAACCAGTTTGTGCATCATCGCCTTGCTTTGGTTCCTGTCTAAAACCAGACCGTTATGCAGTTTTGTTCTTTTGGAGGAGGTCTCTGGATTGATTCAAGCCAATTGCCAGGTCGGTGAACTTGTGCTTAGTGAAGTGAGGAGCTAGTCTCGCGAAACACTTCCTGTCCGCAAGTCTGTATGACAATTTGGACCAGACGATGGTACTTCAGCACAGAAGCAGAAAGCCTGTCGAGCCCCGGATCATCTGCGAAGCAACTGATTTGCAATCTGCAAGGTTCCGAGTCAGCAAGTGTCGTATGCCCTGACTGCAGGTATATTTGGCGGCAACCCAAGACGTCCCCGACGAGACGAACCTCAAGTGCTGCCTCATGTCGTTGACCATCTCTTGGGAGGCGTTGGCGCACGACCTCCTTTTCAAAGAGTTGCCCGGGCCGCCGGCTGCGGACGAAACTAAAGAATAAACAAATCGACGCCGCAGTCTGCCGGCAGCGTAATCTTGGTCCAGTCTTTTGTGAGTATGAGAAGGTTCCGCGTGCGAAGTCGCTTGCACTTTGAGACAATGATGCCGAATGATCTTGTGAATAGGCTGGAGATAGAACTCGTTAAGGAGGCGACCCATTTCAATCAGTGCAAAGGACGGGCTTCCATGCAATTGGTCTAATTACGTCCTCTCATTCAATGAATGTCCGTTGTGTACTAACTTCTAACGGCCTTCCTAATGCGCGTGCTGCACAGTGAATAAGGGCAATTGGATGCCTGATCGCTGCAAGCGGCGCGGGAAAGATCGGTTCCGGAAGGCTAAGTTCACTTTTATGCTAGCCGCGCAGCAGGAAGGATTGAACTCGAAAGGAACAAAAGTGCAAAGAAACATGGCCTTTGGGCCGACGGTCCGACGCGCGGCCCGCGTTTCCGAAGTTTGTCTGCTCAGAGAACGATCGACTCACTATGTGCACGTAAGTTCATGTACTCATATGCTACGATCGGCCATGCACATTGTTTATACAGCGGGCGCGGCCCTGAACGCAATGCGCGCGCGCATGTATTAAACAACTTACCACCATGTACAAAACTCAGATATTAAGCTCGGTCACCATATGACTATTTGAGCTCAAATGTACATTAAGCGCACCATGCATGGCATGCAAGAGCGTCGATCGACCCGGCCAAGCTCATGCATCAGTGAGTCCCGGATCGTCCGGACGTGTGGCGTGCGCGCGCGCGCGCCGCTGGGAAGACTTAGGGTTAGCTATAACTGGCTAGCTTTGCTCCTGAATGTTCCCATGCAACTTAACGTGACACGGCGGTGGCTGTGAAACTTATTAAATCAGCCCCCCGGGCCAGGAACGAAGATTCTCTACAAGTTTGTGCGACCACGGTGATGCTCAACATGCGAGCTTCTATGATTGTGCATATAAGAAACGCTTGAAGTTGACAAATCGCGTAGCTTTATGGAATCATATGTTTCAACCCTTTCAAGTATCTTTGCATGCTCGACAAGCAACAGGCTTGCCTGCAGGCAAACTAGTGAGGACAGACATACGAATTGTCAATCTCGCTAAAGGACAAGCTGAACTATGCTATGCTATTGCAACCGGCACCGCCGGGAGCTAAAGAATCGTTTTCAGGGGACTAACTCATCCATTGTCAAAGTTAGTCCTCGCCTACTCCTAGTTAAGGAAAGAATGGTCTAAGAATACCTCGCAGGTCCTTACAACCGTGACACCTCCTCTTGCTTTCCCCGTTTTGCCGCCTTTCGGTAGCCCCTACTACGCTGGGCCACGAGAAGCATCGGCTTTTTCATAAGCAGCCGTCAAATGTCGCGCCCATTCAGCCAGCATCATGTGACACCCACACACAAGGGGGAAGTATCGCTTGGGTCGCGCTTGCTTCCACGCGTTTCTCGCCCCCTCTCTAAACTGGCATGCGCAAATTAAGTCACCTGCCCTGTACAAAGCGGGCTACCGACCTCCGGGTTGCCCATGCAAAGGACTCCCTGACAACTCCGGTTTACTTCCACCCGCAGGGGGCCCTAGTGACAGCTGTTGGCCCGGGGAAAGAAAAATGTTCTGCCCAACGTTGCTGAAGTTGTCTAGCTGACTAGAGGTTCCGAGGGCCGCCCGTCGGTCCGACAATTGGAGGTGGATCAGCGACGCCGATTGGTTGCTGATTCCGAGGCCGTAGGAAACGTCCGGACCTGGTGTCAAATAAGAAACTTGTCAAGACCAGCGTACACCAAAATTCTTGCGATTGGAACGGTTTACGATTGGTACAGGACCAGCAATCTGTTGCTGCAGCATAATAAATAAAGGGCACGCTGAGCGAGCTTGACTGAGGACTACGAAGTCTTGCCCGGCAAGAGAACGAGGATATTGTACCTGTTGAAAAAGACAACGTCTTCCAAGAAATTGGTAAAGAAACGGATAGACATGACAGCCTGTTCCTAAAGGCACATGCTCAGACGCCTATTTTGATAGGCCGCGCCCGACTTCGGGCAAGCAAGCTTTCCTTGATTATGTTCGAGGGCGGACCCTGGTTGCATCGACTTTCTCTTTCTGACACAAAAGAGACACTCTCTTTGCAGGTACAAAACAGATTCTCTGTACGCAGACAGGCTGCCTGCAGAATCATACTAAGCTGGTATGATGCAAGGAACTGTGGAAATACTACACCCGCATTCACCGAACCACGGGAAAGCGACAACCAGTCGCGGGTGAACCAAGCAGGGTAGGAGGCAGCCAAAAGCAAAGCGCGTGACATCAAGAACAAGCGAACGAGAAGTTTATGAAACCACAGAGGGAGTTCTGATGAGGAAGTGCCTCCTGGAAGTAACGCCTGATGGCATACTTCGATGAGCTGAATCACTTCAAACGGTGGCATACTTCGATGAGCTGAATCACTTCAAACGGTGTCAAAGCAAAGAGCACATCCGAGAACTCTTTTGTGTCTCTCGATAGAAAAGGGGACTTGTAACGCTCCCTCATCAAAATAGAAGGTGCCTACCACTGTCCAATGTTGAAACTCACACCTCGCAAAGCAACCAGTCAAGGACTCAAATGCGAGAGGCGCTCACCTCCTTGGGAGAACCTCAACCCGTTGAGCATCGCTGCCTGGTTCCCTTGCAACCCCCCGTCTTCCCTCCGTCCGTACCCCCCGTTCATCCCCCCCATCAGAAATGGCGACGCCCCCCCCTGCGCACCAGGGCCCATAAGCCCGCCCCCCAGGAGGTGGCTCGTCGTTGGGATTCCGCTTTCTAGTCGCATCCCCTCGCTTTGACCCCCCCGGTTCGCAGGATCGTGCCCCTCATTGGCGTTTAGGGTGCGGTAGGATGGGCCGTCGGGCGCCATTGGCGGGTACCGCTGCGAAGAACCACTGGCGCCACCGTCCATGCGGTTTTGAAGCGGCTGGGGAAAGGGGGGGGCGGACCAGAAATTAGTGATTTGTACGGATATTGTTTGGATGAGGGGTCCGGTGAGAGGATACTCCTTGCAGTGCTGCAGCGGTGGTTGCTTTGCAGATGGGACAGTTCTGCAGCGGTGGATGCTTTTGCAGATGGTAAGTTTGCGTGTTCAATCGAACAAGAAGTTTTCGGGGGCCGCATGGTAAGAAGTTCTTGGCGTGGCTACCCGTGCCGATCTGCAGGGGCTGCAAAAAAGTGGCAGGATAGGGGCAGAGGATTGATATTATTTGGGGGGGTGGTAAAAAGCAAGCGCCGCCAGAAGAGGCTATCGCCAGATTCTACAGCGGCGATCGCCAACGTTTGAGTAGGACGAGAAGACTGACAGCAGGTCGTTCGAAGGCTTTCTGATAGTTGCCAGAGCTCCAGTCCGGTGGTTGGCAGGAAGCTTGGGGAAAGACCTTATTAAACAAGGGCTCGGGATTTTGTTTGAATTACGAGACATTTATTGGAGGTTTTTGGGTTGACAACACTAACGCTTAAGCTTAGATCCCTGCCAGGTTGTTGGGCAAACAATGAACGCCGTGCTTCAGCAGAAAGAATAGGTCTCTTGATGCTCCCAATTCCCCAGAAGTCCCAATTCCCCAGAAGTTCTCTCTCTGAGTGTGCCACGTCGTCATGCTGGGCGGCTTTGCTGTGTTCTCGAATACCCTGGTGATGTGAATGGTTGCAATGTGCACGAATCAATGATTGGGCTGGAGAGCAAAAGGGGGACGACGGGTCATTCTGAGAGTTCTGCAGCCTTCGTTTATAGTTCAGCCAGGGACGCCAGGAACCACCACCAAAAGAACAAGCTGCTCCTGAGATGCCCTGAATAGGCGGATCACACGACTTCTGCTCCAAATGCTTCCGTCAATAATTGTCTGCTCCAAACGTGTAATTTCAAGGTGACAGTGTTTCTATCAAGTCAATCACCGATTCTGGACAGCTTATTTTGTTGCCACTGGGTGACCAGATTCCATTCTGAAATTCTAGTAAGCAGATTGACTACTGATGCTACCAAAACGACGCATTCTGCAGGATGTTTAGTAGTTCAGGGTCAGCTAGCAGTCTGCAAAGACTACGAGCGCTTGCGAAGAGAGGATACTGCCTGACCGAGGAGCGAAGATCAATGGAACTCTAAGCTATTGGCCAATCACCAGAAAAAAGGGCACTGGGAAGGCAATGCTCATTACCAAAACATCTGCTTATAGGAATCAACAACGACCCTGCGATGACAGGTTCTTCAAAACCCTCAGGCAGCCCGAAAGAGCTGTTGCACTGTGTTTTGGCCCACTCACCGTGCTGTTCCGGTAAGTGGTGCCATCTGGCTCCACAATCCAGCCCGCCTCATTTGCTAAAGCCTTCAGAACATCATTGATATCTGCTCTAGGCCTGCACAGAATCCACAGCTGAGGTGATCAACAAACAGCTCTGGCTGCAGAAGTACACATTCTGGCACATCTCAACTTGGAGGCAAATGCTGGTGCAAATCTGCTCCGTTCAGCTTCTGGAAGCAAACCAGCTGACTGAAAGTAGGTTCTAAGTGAGGCAGAAATTCTGCATTTCCAGAACTTCCGTCAACCATGGTGAAAGCAGCCAAACTGCTTGCGGCATGTTGACACCCAACTATTGGGATCACAGCGATCGACTACTTGCATTCACATGAATGAGCTCAAATTCTTGTATGCCATCCACTCACGGAAGATTGAAGCCGCCGTACTTCCGAAGACCTGTGAAAATCTTGGTGGTGATGGCTCGACGCTGACGCTCTCGCAGCTTCGTTTTCTCCTTCTCGCTTGCTGAGAGCTTCGTCATCCTCAGGGGGAGTAAGTGGTCCTAACTAAGCGTCACAGAAGATTGGCCGCCAAACCCAGATCAAAGAGTATGCTCGATAGTCCCCTAGGGGAGGCGTGCTGCCAGGCTTGCTGACTAGAGTTGCCCTATCATTGAGACCACAGCCTGCTCTAAGGGAGCTCTAACGGAGCGGAGAGATTACAGGTCACCAAGACCAAGTTGAAGGAAGGCCCTCTGTAAGATTGCTCTCACACACAGCGTGACGCCATCAGGGGCACAAGCAGGTATCTCTTGCGCTACAACTATTCTGGCTAGGTAGATAACCAACCAGAGCGTCTGCACACCGTACAAGGCTGCCCTTGGTAAAGAACAAGAAGAACAATCAAAAGCTACAGCCTAAGATCGGCGCTGCTGAAGCTGCTCATACAATTCTTGGAAGCTCTGCCTACGACCAGGAGCCAGATGATCACAACAAGACGATCAGCAGCCAAGAGCATTGCCCTCTGTGGCAATCCCCTTGTTCCCAAGCTCCACAGCTTATTGGTAACGATTTCCAGCTCGTCAGCTCGTCAAGAAGCCTGATCTTGGAATGCTCCAGGATCCGAGAAGAAAGACAGACACCAAGGAGGGATTCGAACACCGTGGACACACAAAGCAAAAATTCTGGAAGCGCTCCTGAATCATTCCCAGCTCACTAGCTACAAAACCTGCATTGCTCTTTCCCACATTGCTCAAGTCGCATTGCATTTGATCCCGAAGGTGAATCAACTGATTTGCCCCGCGAGTCCTGTGACTGGTACTGACTCCTGAGTGACATCAGAATCCAATTTCCGGATCTCGACAGAAAGGCAAATTTGAATTCCGATCGGGCCCAAAATTCGCTGCGATTTTGCTGGCGGCCAGTGTCGAGGCGGGGGCCGCGCCCAGGAACGGCGACAACGCCACCTACGACGGATGATTTACGTCGCCCTGAGCAGAGTATTTTGTCGCCCCAAAAAGGCAATTCTAGTCGTTTGCAATTTGTCAGATCCAATCATCATATCTAGTTTATCCGCCACGTGGTGTCGAATCGGCCAACGACAGCCAACCGTCCGGCAAATGGCCCATGTGCATATGAAGGTGACCCGACCTCCAGGGCCCAGGCGGGCGCCGGGGACCCGGTCATGACACCGTCATACACGTTGGGGTGTAGAAAATTGGAGATGAAGAAAGGGCCGGGACTGCAGTGTGCACGGTATCGGTAACCCGCAATACCTATCAACGGGGTCTTGGTCAAGGCCGTAAACTGACCGTACCTTTAATATCACGGTACCCTACCCACCGGCATACCGGGGGACGAGTATTTAAGTATTTGCATTATGATGCAAACCCCAGATTTAACCGCTTGCCCCTCATGAATCCTACGGTCTACCACTGGTTTGACTGGCATGTCAAGTTTGTCCCACCCTTCGGTTACGCGGCAGCGGTAGCGCAAAATCAACCCCGACCGAGGTTTAACCGATAGGTGGTCAGATTGTAGGTATGGTAGATCCCCATGGACCCCGGGGCCTGACAAGGGAAATCCCGTGGCAGAGGATATTTCCACGATAATTCCGCAAATATTCAATGATTTTACAGATTCGTGCAGAAATAGACACAACTTGTGCGCGAGCAGATTGGAACTTCCGACATATCCAGCATGGCGGCAAGTTGCGAGTACAAACTACAACTTGAAAACTTGGCTTTCTAAGTTTCTCTTTTGTACGTCATCTTGAGCGCGCATTTGTGCAGCAAAAGCTGCCGGCTGCGAATAGTTCTTGCTGATGTGCGCTTCTAACGACGTCGCCGCCACCCTGCTTGTGCTCCTGCTCCCTCTTTCCATCATGAGGCGTTGATCCAACTGCAATGCCGCGGTTTCAGCAGTCCGCTGGGCGCGCAGGCCGCACTAGCACCGATGGGGCTGCCATCGGGGCGGGAATCAGTCCCAACGATCAAGTGTACTTCGAGAGCTATGCCAACACGGGCATTCACGAGGAGATGATCAAGGTAAGGGACTTGGCACCAATGGTCTTACGTTCTCAGCGGTAATGGAGATTGCTTATTGTATGTCTGGACATTGGTGTTCATTGCAGGGTGCCTGCACACAGCGCCAGCTTTTGTAGCAGGGTAGCAGACTGTTTTGTAACGTTTCCTCCTTCACATCATTCGACGTGCTTTGTGTTTACAGTATTGTTTTTCATGCTTCTTTCCATTCACAAAGGTGGTGGATACGTTGTGCACCATTACCATTCAAAATGTGAGTAACGTTGGCGGTCGTCTGATGAAGGGAGTGTCAAGTAGCCAGCCCCGCATGATGAACTTAAAGAGACATGAATCATTCTGGCTCTCGGTTGGCAATGATTACCTCTGTATGTAAACACTGGACCTGCAGTTGCATGTCCTTCTGAGTAGCATCGATTCGTATTTTAAAAGTTTGCTAGTTTTCTTGAAGGATTTTGTATTCAAACTCATCTTACTTTCACCTACAAATGCAGCTTCTTTTTGCCTCCAGTTCATGTTTGCTCTGAAGATTGAAGCAGTTCTGGACGCAGTGTGGAATGATGACTCTCATGTCGCCCCAGTCCTATTGGCCCTACGCCTTGAGGATTGACCCTAAGCTGAAGTTCCATCAGCTCTGACCACACACAACTTCCTCTTCATTGCTAAACTGTTCGTTGCTCATTTTCAGCTTGATTAGATGAATCTAGGTTCTGTGTCTGCTACCGTATTGTTGTTTCTGAAAAACTTTTTACGTTGGATGCTATGAAGGCGTGCTACAATGATGATCCGGATAATCCCAGCTCGCTTTGAGTTTCTGCGGAAGCGCTGAAGAGAAACCTCCGTTCCTTTCACGTAAACACCTGAGTAGCCGCCTCCCAAGTTGAGTGGTGTTGGTTTGTCCACAGCGAAAGCGTGTGATGCAGAAGTGGTGGTGGTTATATCCAAGTCAGTGGATAGTTACTGCTTTGAATTGGCTTTTTGGAAATTGTTGCAGTCTTTTGAATGTCTTCATACTTCATTTGTCCCGCATCTCCAGCCCTCGAAGTTGCCGTTAATCAACCTGGAGGTCCAAATATTGAACTTTGCGGGAGAGCTTTGAAAGTTTATGCCTATTCCAGCTGTGACGACTCCTGGGCAAGCTGGAAGAAACATTCAAACATTATCACATAAATAGGTTACAACCACTCCAATGCCCCATATCTGCACCCGGCCGAAGTGGTAACAGTATGCGGAAGCATTGTGATCCCCTGAACCTTTTTGTTGATTCGTTAATTAGTTTAAATTTTTCCATCAAGATCAATACCAATTGTAAGTTATTCAGGCCGGATGATGATCTGTTTCATAGACCTGTTCTGATTTCCATGAGGACATTTAACATGCACCACTATCTGACGGCCTAGCAACTTTCCGCGTGTTTGCGTCTTCTGTTTGCAGAAGGTGAGCTTCCGGGCATTTTTAACAATCTAAATTTGGACATGTTCTGATTACATCCGCTGCCAGGCACACCCTGAACTCTGGCAAATCAAAGAAAAGCATTGTTCAGCATCTGGCAAAGTTTTTAAACATTTCTGTTGTCCATGTTCTGTGCTGGCAGTAGCGCCGTCTGTTTTCAGTCAATCCTTTGTCCAACCACCCCAAGTCTGCTTGTCCCTAGGCGTTACTGCTCTGCTTTTCCATGCGGTTCAGGTGTCGGGTCAAGCAGAAAGCAAACGTCCTCCCCCCCTGCGTGCAGGCCGAGGCGTCAGTCTAATACCAACAGGGGCGATATCTTTCCCGCCCTTGTTGACCTGTCTACTGGCACAATCCCATTCCCATTTTCAATGCTGGATTGGCCTCACGCTTCAGTTCATTTTTATTTGGGTCAATCAAAGAAGGCTCTGCTTATGAATGCGCACTGCATATACGAGAGTTTGAAGTAACTTAGCATCAGGGTCCCATTCTTGTCCTGTGACAGACTTCCTCTCTCTATTCCAACAGGTTCCTCTTCCGCTCGACGCATGGTGGCAGCCTGAGGACAAATATTGAGAAACCCTTACCGTCTAGACGCTGTAATGTCGAAAACTTCCAAAACCTGTTATGAAAGTAGCTCATTCTTTCTCCAGGACCGTTCCCGCATGGACACCTACCAGCAGGCGATCATGCGCAATGCTGCTTACATCAGCGGCTGCGCGGTTCTTGACGTCGGATGTGGCACTGGGATCCTGTCCATCTTTTGCGCGCGCGCGGGGGCGCGCAAGGTGTACGCAGTGGACGCCAGCGGGATTGCGGAGCACGCAGAGCGCATCGTGGCCGACAACGGTTTTGCTGACGTCATCACTGTGATACGTGGAAAGATGGAGGAAGTGGAGCTTCCTGAGAAGGTAAGGAGGGGCCCGAAGAGTGGTGGTTATGGTTACAGAGATTGTGACCATGTTTGCAGTAGATGCTTTCTGAAAGCAATCTGCCTGTTGAACAGAAGTGTTCGTATCCAAGTCAGAGACACTTGTCCATGATTATTTGTCCCTTTCGTTGTCCAAGTTGGAGATTCTCGTCCATGATCTTTTGTCTCTTTTGTGGCCATGTCTGCAATGTCTCCTCCTCCAGAAGATTGCTTGCAGGAATGTGTTTGGTAACTGTAAGATACACAGGCAAGTCAGTGGTGCTAATCGTTCCTTGTCATGATTTACTGAAAGGCTCTTACGCGCCTCTTCTTTCGTCAATTCAGCGCCTCTTTTCTGATTTTGCCTTCGGTCAGTCCCTTTTCTTGACTTACTTTTACCAACACATATCCCAATCTGCATTCACCCTTGGAAGTTGTCGGCTGACTGTCTGATGGTCACTACGACGTTTTTCTTCGTATCTCCGTGAGAGTAGAAAGAATGAAAATGCTGCCCTTTGTATCTGTGCTTGCTTGGTCGCCAGCCTGCCTTGCCGATGATGAGAAGTCCAAATGGGTCGTTTCTCGAAACATTCGCAGTACCCGTCCCGAGCGCTTTCGCCTTGCCGGGCTTGAGAGCGGATGCGGCTCCTTCCTTGGATGTCTGAGGCAAAATTCGCTGGCTGGCACCGTTTTCATTTTTCCGGATTGTACCTCTCTCTCAGATCTACTATAGCTCGCCTCGAATCCTTTTGTGCTTGCTGCTGTCGGCTGTTTCCTCTTCTTGGACTGTCAGCAGCTTTACGGTGTAATTATTTTCAACTCTGCTACTCAGGAGGATATTTTCGTCTTCCATTGCAAAGCTGCTCGTCCGATGCTTCAATTTTGCTCAATATTGACCTCCATGCCTTTCGACAGATGACTCAAAGAAAAGTCAGATCACATCGAATGTCAAGGCGTCCTCTAATACACCCGTTCGCTCCTGCAGGTTAATGTCATTGTCTCAGAGTGGATGGGTTACGTACTCCTCTACGAGTCCATGCTCGACAGCGTCATCTACGCGCGTGACCGGTGGCTTAACCCGGGCGGGCTAATGTTGCCCTCGGTGGCAACACTGTACATAAACCCAGTTAGTGACCCTGAGCTGTACGAAAACAGCATCGACTTTTGGCAAGATGTGTACGGGATCAACATGACGTCACTGATCCCGTCAGCGAAGAAGTCGGTCCTCTCAGAGCCTGCGGTGGGGCTAGTGTCGGTAGAGAACGTGCTGTCGTGGCCGGCGGTCATCAAGCGGATTGACTGCACGAGCGCGACCAAGGATGACGTCAGCAGGGTGGAGGCGGCGTTCAAAGTGACGTCAATGATGATGGCGGAACTGCACGGGTTCGTTTTGTGGTTCGATGTCAATTTTCCGATCAGGAGCGAAGGCAGTGCAGATGTAAATATGGTAGCGTCAGCTAAGCAAGGACAGGTAGAAATTGAGACAGGTACTAGGTCACAAGATACGGGAACGCTCCAAGGTCAAAACGGGTCAGGTAAAAGCGACGGAATGCTCACGTTGTCCACAGGCCCGGAAAAGCAGCCTACACATTGGCAACAAACTATCTTGTACATAGACGAGCCAGTTCGTGTTGACCAGGATGACGTGATCGAAGGCAAGGTACAGCTAAGTCGAAACGCAGAGAACGAACGGTTTATAGACGTGGCCTTGGATTTTCGGACAGGAAAGGTACAGGGAACGAAGAAGTTCAAGATGGTATAAACGTCAATATTGTTGCTTCATTTCGAAATTGGCAACGAAAACAGATCTCATACATTCAGATTCGAGTTGTTTCTGGGGCCTCGTACGTGACCTTAAAGGCGGTGTTTCATCCATATTCGCGTGAGCTGCTTGGGAGCGCTTGAATTGCCGCTCAGTCGATGCAGAGACGTACTGGGTGAGTCTGGGTGCCTGCTTTGGAAGCGTCAATTCATGCTTTCTGCACGAGAGTGCATGAGGTCAGATCTTTCGTGACATGGCGTAGGATTGATCAGTGTCCTCCGAGTAACATGGCGTATGATTGATCAAATGTTTAGCAATTGACAGTGAGCTAAATGATGGTGGGCGGCCTTACATCGATCGTTGCAAAATTGGAAGTTACCGTCATTGTTTGCCAGGCCGCTGCCAGCATGAGTCCGGGGAGATCGAGCGAACACACGAATCAGATTGGTCGGATTAGGTTGGCCCTGACGTACGGTACGTAATTGCATTGATTGAGGCGCATGGCTTGAAAGCTAGCTCTAGCTTCTCGCCGAAATGCCAGATACCAGAGTAATCCAAGCCTGACGATCGTCTGAGATTACTACCCGTCGACCATGCTTGCCATATGCATTGGCGTCCAAATTTGCACGACATTGGACTAGCTCGATCGCATGCTACGTTAAAGAGGGCGTCTAAACAACGTCATCAACCGGCCACTTTTAGCAGGGCCTATAGTGCTCGGGGCATAAACTCTGATACCAACTTCTTGGCGACGAAACACCAGAAAGCCTTGCATGCTTCAATGTCGCTATATGCCAGTGACGTCAGGCGTTCCGGGTTTCAAGACGCCCACTTCAAGTTTAGTACATGCCAGCTATACCAACGGCCTGCAGGTTCGATTCAACACATGATGAAGACAAGCTCTCTAGCTGCATGCGTGTGCCCAATATATGATATTGAGAATTGCCGCCAGTTGGCAATCGAATCTCCGTGATCATTTGCAGTATGCAAGTTGACTGATTGCTTTGGATCACCAGACCGCATCATATGTTACCACTCCAGCTCCCGCGGGCTTTCAAGTTTTGATCAAACTGTTGACTTGATAGTCGTGCATGTTGACGCGAGGCCCCATTTTTTTACTGAGGACACCAGGCCCGAAGAGTCTGGGCCGTCAGACTGCTTCCGGTTGTCCTTCTTATGAGCTGACAACCTACTCAAGCCCGAAAGACTAAGCCGTCTCACTGAAAGCCCTCATGTACAGCCTCAACTAACGGTGTCCTGTGCGGATGCCACCGTTTTGAAGGAGATGAGAAGAACCTTTGAGTAAAGTTGACGGAGCGCTCGCTTGTCTCACCAATCCGTACAACGGAAGGTGGATCATCGCACGAAAGCAGGAACAGCTTGCTGCACGCAGGACGGTCTGAGGTCGTGACGGTCTCACTCGCGGGTAAGACGTTGACGGCGAGATGCTGTCAGTCTGTCAAGAGCTGCCCGCGCTTGCGCATAGAATGATACCAGCTCTTCTCTGGATGACGGGCGCGGCTCGGCGAACGGATTCAACCCCCGTTTCGGGGGGTCCTCGTGTCTACTCATGCTTCACCCCCCCTTGGAAGACCCTTTCGCCGGCTTCTTTGCTGCCGACGCAGTAGCTGAAGCGTAGCACTCCCTCAGCGCCATCACCTCTGTAGACATTGCAAATGTATCCCTCAGAGAAGAATACTGAACCGGTAACGTGTCTTGTAAGGCTGACCGTCTGGACATGATGGAAGCTTGCTCAATGGATCCCTGGAACCGAGCCCGTGCCCTGAAAAGCTTTTTATAGGTGTAAGTTGGCGGCTGGAATCAGAGCTTAGAAAGGTTTGTTTCGCCACGATATTGGAGAACAAGCTCGAAAGCTAGGACGAAATGAGGACTGCTGTGGGCTGCCTAAGTGGAGGAAGCCATCTGATACCAGGTGCTTCATTCAAAGTGCCCAAACGGCCAGAATTTCGGCTTGAGATAGTATTTGGCCAAACTGCTCGATATCAGACGCGTTGTCAGACTGAGACTGCAGACAGAGGACAGCGGACAACAACAAAGACTGCGAGATTGACCAGCAGCGCCTTCAGCAGCGCTTATTTAGTGCACAAAAGCGCCCTTGCCTGGGGACACCCTACCAGTCATTTCGATTCATAGTTCGTGACTCTCAGGACCTCCTGTCAAGGGCCCAAAAGGCTAAAGCAAGTCAGTGAGAAGCGCAATATTCCCAAACGGTCCCTGGTAAAGCCTGCACATTTGCTAATGAAGACTACACCAGGCGGAGTCCTCGGATCTCACCTTTTTGACATTGCCGCCAGTCTCTGTCGTGCTCAGCTAAACACTCCTGCAGGAAGGGGCATCAGCTTGCCATCACCTTCTGCTGAGAGGACGTGGCAAATACTGAGACAACTAAAGGACAATTGCATCTGTTGCCGAGAATCCTTCCATGTTGTTCTTAGATCCATGTACCATGCGCTCAATGGAGAGGGGAGGATTGGGCGGACTCCTGGAAGATTCTGAGGGGTGTTGCGAAATCGAATGAGAACCCAAGGAGACTTCTCTATATGGGGAATGTACTTCAATGTGATCGACGTTACTAAGAAGAAAGGTGTTGCTATGATTCTTTGGCAGCTCAGATGGTGATCTTTGAGATACTTCCAGAAAACATATGCGAATTCAGAAAACATATGCGAATTCTTGCTTTGTGTACTTCAATCCCCTTGCCAATGGATTCGCCCTGGTCTCCCTAAAAGCCCCCACAGCAGCAATATGTATCTGCTGTTGCGGCTCGATTGATTCATTTGAGCATGATTCAGATTGATAGCGGCCTGGATTGAAAGCACTTCTTCACAAACCCTTAAAATGCAGAGGAAAAAGAAGTTCAATGGTTGATGATACAGATGTCCTCACAACCTAAGGCTGCCGGCGGCTGATCGCAATGCCAGCTGGCTCACGCAGACCAAAAACAAAATGGTCATCAATAAATGCAGCATTGTCTGCAAAAACTTGGTTCCCATGTACCTCCAACTTGGCGTAAACTTTCCCGCACCCCTGCTGATCTACCATTGGATCGATGTCGTCGTCGTCCTCCTCCCCTGTCGTCCTCCTCTTATGAACCGGCTGCTGAGGGCTAGACATGATGCAATGAACAGCCTATGTAGTTTTGAATCCCAGTAATCTGCCTGGTGGAAGGCACATTCGCATCTGATGTTGGGTAGATCTAGCGCTCCTGTATCGTGATGCTCGTGCAAATACGGTAATGCCTGTGCAACTTTGAGGGTGCGAAAAGTGCACGGTAATGGATGATTCTTTATCTGTGCATGCATGACATATCCTGCAGAATCTAGTTCGTTGTTCTGGAGAAAGGACAAATCTATCGACCGTCCACGATCGAAAATCATATATGATTAGGCAAGGTAACGTGCCCGTTGCCGACGTAAGCATGCTTCGTTCTGCCATGAACTTCTGGAAGTTGGGGGACCATCCTGATGTCACCAGTTTGACACTTCCTCTGACACCCTGTCAACATCGGGCCAGGCTCATGCAGGAGTCAGCCAGCAGAGTCTGATGGCAATGCAGCCCCACTGAACTTCAGCCTGAGGCTGAAGCAACAATTTCACAACTTGCAAGCTACGGTACCGTAAAGCCTAAAGGCTAAAGCACCAGGTTCTGGCGGCACCAGAAACTTTAGTCCAGAATCAAGATTGCCATAGACGGAAGAGGAGGCGGAAGACGGAAGGGGGGCTTGTGCAGAATCATAGATTGTGCGCCCTGCTTAGACCTGGCATGCATTGGTTCGAAGGGTGATCTGCATTCTTCCCTTTCCAGCCGCTTCGCAAGAATTTTTGCCCTCACTTTGCAAACTGACGCTTTGTGTGTAGCTTGCGCAAGCATCCGTGTTGAAACACTTGTTGTGTGGAGCTTGCTTCCAACGACCGCCAACCTTCATTCCGAGCTTCAGCTCGAAACCTGACTCCAATACTTTTACGTGCTCCCGGGCGTAAATTCTGCATCCATTTAGGCGAAGGTGCAGTCTAGATTAGGTTTGCGTCTGACAAAGCGATATGACAGTAATGGCGGCCAGCGTCCAAGATGCGCTGCTTTCGGTTCAAGACTTTACCCCATTCCTGGCAAACCTGGCTGCTCCAACGCTGGTTGCATTTTTGGCGCACCTGCTTTATGTCAAGTTTATGGTCGACCTTTTGATGGCACGAGTGTAAGTCTCCCTTCTAGCGAAGTTCTGTACCGTCAGAATCCACTCCAGCTTCAACGGGAGCCAGGATGCATTATTGAGTTACTTTGCGGCACGCTTCAGAATGCGAGCCAAGAGATCCCTGTGGTCAACAAAGATTTCGAATTGTATGTCATAAATTTGGAGATCGGTGCCATATATTGCGGTTGTGCTCATTGCACTGTTGGGAAGCAGACAATTTGAATATAGTTGCCAGATTGTCGCCAGAACTGGTTCAGACAAAGCAGGGGTCCATCGCTTTTGCTTCCATGGTCCTGATTCATATTCACCTTTTCCTTCCTTCTTCCCGGACATACTGCATCAGTATATGCAACTAGACAGTTGAAGATGCTCACATCATTCAGATTGTCCAATAAGCTGTTGACTTGGCACGCATGTCAAAACAGTCAGCGCAGGCGGCTCCAGCAATCATCATAACAATTTGTTGTGCTTGCGTGCCGCGTCGCATAAACTCCAAAGGATCCAAAAACTTGTCAATGCCAGGCCAGGCCAGATGAGCACCAAACAAAGCCGCATTTCTACAACCTCCGCTTGACCTGCTGATATGAGCTTTGGAAACTTCCCACTGGATGCTGACTGTTGTAGCATCAATTTGAACTCTTGCAGGAAGCACAAGATCTTTCCCCCAGCCATGTCAGGCCACCCTGACTTTGATCGCTGCGTGAGAGTGTATGAGAACCAGCTAGAGCAGTACATCCCATTCCTGATGAGCATGTTTTTGTGTGCAATCTTCATCAACGGCAATTTGGCGGGTGAGGTTCAAGAGACTTATGTTGATTCGTGGAATCCAAACATGTCCACTGACAATAGGTTGATGGAGAAAGATCATGGTAGAAAGGCTCTCGTTGGGGATGCAGGATTCGCCACTTCTCTTTCGATTCAGCAGCTCTCAGTGCTTTCATCTGCCTTCTGCACATGGGTTCCTTTCTTTCCATTGCTTCGGTTGATGGTTCCTGCAGCTTTACTCCGCCTGTCAGTGTCGCACAATTATCTGTGTGTATGCTTTAAGTGAGACTTTGCAGATTTTGTACGTTGCCAGCTTTCTGTGCCTAAGCGGCAAGCGTGCACCAGGCCCATCCCGGAGCAGTGGAAAGTCCCCGACTCTTCTACCGTCTTGCTTGTCACGTTCTTTATTGTAAATGCGCAGTCAACTACGAGTTCTATGTCACAAAACAGGGGTCCAGCGCCCCTTAGGGTGCCCACTTGTTGCCGCTAGAATTGGCATGTCTAAAGTTGCGGCCTCCCTAGAAACGATAAAGTGGCTAGGATCCGATGACACCGTTGCAGTCTGCTCTTATCATCGTTTCGAGTTTGAAAAAGCACTCAGCATTGAGGTTTCGTGGCTATGCTTTTTCAATATGCTTTGCGGATTATCTTCGTTGAATTGGCATGAGAGCTGTACAGCCAAACTCTCTGCATCTCGATTTCCGATGTTCAACGTAAGTCGTACAAGAGCTGACCGCTGAAGCAGAGACGCTTGTTTTTACAGGGATCCTAGGGCTGCTGTGGGTGCTTTGTAGATACCAGTACGGGCGCCGCTACCAGGCCCATAGGTACGGCCGAGATATCGGGCGGTACACAGGTCCAGCGTATCTCCTCATTGCCGTGATGTACATCCTTCCTGTTGTCAGGATCGTATATGTGTACGCGCAGTCAGTCTTCTGAGCTCTTATGAGCACTGAATGTTTGGAGACGCAGAGTTTGATGGCCAGGTTTTGGTTTCTCCTGGTAAAAGGTTAGAGTCTGCATCAATCGCACGAGTTATTATTGAGCTCAGATTGAGTAAGTTGTTTTGTAAGTAAGTTATTCTAGCCCACTGTGGACTCATGCAAGCTGATTTAAAGATAGAGACGAACATCCCTTGTGTTTGCTTAGTGGCCTCGGCCGCGCACATACTAATGCACCTGATGCATAAATCATGCGTTTGTCATCATTGAATCAAATGCGCATGATCCATCATTCAACGACTGTTGACGAGATGGTTACTGTCAAGTGTGCACGTGTTGCGTGACGACTATAAGCCAGCTAGATCTTTTCTGCATGATACGGACGGTGCTTCGAATCTGTCCTTCTCGCGTGACAATGAACCAGTGACTATAGGCACTTCGCCTTCATACAAGCCGAGGTTCAGCTGCACGGCTGGTGGCGCGCGGAAATCCGGCCGGCCGGCGGCCGCCCAACAGAAAGATTGCGAAGGATCGCTGAAATTAACGCATGCATGATATGGCCGCCGTCGCGCTTTTGACCTGCAAGAATACTCATGCACCGCTGTCGCAGTGCGTGCATGCCGTGAGACGGTCAGTTCAACCTGCTGGCATTGAAAACTGAAGTCGCGGCCCGGCCATGCTATTGCGGTATGTACGACCGTCTTAAAGAGGGCGTTGGCGGACGCGTCCGCTCTGACGTCAAAGAGCGACCTATAGCCCTGAGTATAAGGTCGATTGTCGCCAGGAAATGACATCCGACAGCCGAGAACCACGTGGTATCATCTTAGCGACCATTCACCAGCATTCTCCCTCTTGTTGTGGCTGCGATTTGTCGTATCGCCACGCCCTCTTTAAGAGCGCGGCGTGCCAACTGAGGGCCCTCCTATAATAGCCTGTGCCGCGGGCGGCCACAGTGGAAAACGTCCCCACATTGAGTCCAACCAATCGTACGAACAAATTCTTGCCTCACTGAACTTGCATGGAGCATATGTGAACACCAACCAAGTATTGATGTAGTAATCAAGCACTGCAAATGATTCGTGAAGGGCGGCCGGAATCATACATCAACTCAATGAACTTGGCAAACGCATAGATCGATGTCGGATCACAATTTGCGTGCAGACTGTATAACGACACGGTCAGAGTGTGCTCAATCTACAAGTTCAGGACGCTGTCTTGACAGCAATATATTAGCTCCAGGCAATAAGAATGTTGTCACGAGCTGCCAAGACCGATCTCAAGTCCTGTTTGATTGCCTCGCACCGTGATTTTCGCGCCTTCACGTTACAAAAGTACTTCTCAACTTGATTGATCCCAACGGTCACTGTACAATCACACGTACACCCTACGCAATCCCAGGACCTCCTGGTTACGTGGTCACGATCTTGGTTTGATAACCGATGTGAAGCTGCGCAGCCCCCGCCGCCTGCTGCAGAGTCGTGATGTAGTCCAGCGACGCCTTGTGCTTCGGCAGGGTTATGTTAACCGTGGAGTAGTAGTACGCCAAACCCGAGCGGCGCGCCTCCTGGACCGTGTTCGTCGCGTTCGTCTGCGCGTTCTGCACGATCTGCGCGGCTTGCGCGCTCGCGGCTTGGATCAGGAACGTCGCGTTGTTCGCGATCTGGTTAACGAGCTGGTTAGTCGTTGCCCGGATAACCGCGGCCTGGCTCGCGTAGATCTGCTGCTGGTTGCTCTGCAGCTGGATCGCGGTCGCCAGCTGCTTTCCGCTGACCTGCGCCGGAATCGTGACCCCGGACATGAAGATGAACGGAACCACCGCGTGGTACGGCCTAACCGCGCCGCTAACCGCCTTGAAGAAGCTGGCCTCGATGAGCGTCCGGTTGAGAAAGTAGTCCGCGGTGTTGAACGTGACCGCCGTGTTTTTGATTGCCGCGAGGGCCGTGTTGCGAATCACTTGCTCGTAGCTTTGGTCCAGTTCTATTTTGAGAGCGACGACCTCGTTGCGAACCAGGAAGAAGGCGAATTCGACGTCGATGATGGTGTCCAGCTTGTCCGCGGACACGGCGTCGATTTGCAGCAGCTGGATGAACTGGGCGTCCGCGGGGAACTTCCGGAATTTGATGTCCGGGCCCAGGAAGTGGCGCCTGGCGGAACGGAAACGGAATGGTTAGGAAGCGCTCTTGGAACGGTTAACGAAGAGATTGGAACGGTGGATGGAACGGAAAAAAGTGGAAAGGCTGGAGAAGAGAGGAGGTCGTGTGCTGAAACCGAAAAACTCGATTGGAGCGAAAGCAGAATTACGGCCAGAAGATAGATTCAAAAGGGAAACGTTCGAAGATCCTTTGTGAAACTTCAGGAGAAGGATAGAGATGCATTCGGAAAAGTTGGCACCTGGAGAGGAAACGAAAGCAAAACGCTCGGAGACCAGATAGCCGACGGTTTGGGAAGCTACTACAGAAAGGCACCTGCACGAGAGCGGAAGCGGGAACGGACACGCTCCTAGAACGTTCTGACAAGACAGTGAACAGGTGACCGAGAGATTGGTCCATGAGACAAGCAATGGTGACTGAACAAACGGGACGCGTCGTGAGCACGGCAGATCTTGTCGGAGATTGCAAAGAACTCTCGGAACGAGCAAATGGAGAGCCGAAAAGATGACGCTCTCGACTGTCCCAAACAAACAGAAAAGCCTTCTGGAAACTTGTACACAAAGCGATCCTCTCGAAAAAAGGATCGTAAGAAGCCAGATCTCTCACCCGCCGTAGTAGACGGGTTTGTTCAGGTAGACCTTTCCGGTGGAGCGCCTTTGCACGAGGCCGTATTCAGTATAGTCCAGAGTGACGAAGCTCAGCGGAAGCAGGATAACCATGAGCAGGCAGCCGATCACGAACAGCGGAATCCCCGTCTGCAGAGAGAGCAAAGCACTTGACGTCATCAGTTTAGCGTTTACATAATTTGGAAAGTCAAAGTTGCAACCTCTCAAGCTTCAAAGAACGTAGGTTTGAATAGTAAAAAGGTGTCTTGACCAGGAAAAGGGTACCTTGACCAAGACTCGTTTCCTCTCCTGTTGCGAAGCTGGAACAGCTTATGTGATTTTTCTGAGGAATCAACCATCTCAGTGGATCTGAAGAATTGATCAGAACCGGATCTCGACTATCAGTCTCTGGCCAGCTCGGACTCGACAGGGGTGGAAGATTTTGCCAAGCCTGAGCTTGTTCAGTGCGGTTCGCAAAGTCGCTCGGTGCCAAAACTCTGAAGCTTTTGGTGCGATGTTCAACCCAAACCTCGAGAAAACTCAAAAGTCTTCGTGCTGAAAATCTTTCAGCATGGTATTTGACAGGCGAAATCAGTACTTGCTTCCTTCTTCAACATCAGGAGATCACGCCCTCGGGTCGCTTTCATGAACGTGCCAGACTCTAATCTTCTGGAGGACTGAATCTGCAGGAGCTCAGAGCTAGTCTGATGCTGGGGGGAATCCGGGAAGAAAACGAGGAAGACTTACGAAAGCACAGCATGCCCCTGCATTCTCGCACGCACTAAAGTCACGGAACGCGTCCCCTCGTCCGGCTTCCACATCTGCAGGCAATCTACCAGCACCGTCAGACTCCAAGAGATTCATACTGTTTAGAAAGCCTTGAGCGAACGAGTGTATTGCAGACTCCCCATACGAAAAGGCATGTGGATGCTTTTGCTTGCAGACCAACGTTGTGCAGATCAGAAGAAGGGAGGACTCTGGAAATTGGATACCTCCCTATGCATTGGATTTCGATTACCTCCCTATGCACCCTTGTTTCGAAAAGGTACAGGGACCAGAGAGAGTGCGGTATTCATGTCCAAAAGTTGCTCTGAAGGATTTGACCAGCAATCCAAGGCTTGCATACGTGAGCTTGAGCAAGGTGCACAAACCGAATCTGGAACTCTGTGCTTGTAAGGAGATGCAGGTCAAACTACCAAAGGCTTAATCGCTTCTTCCAGCAGTCCAGGAGAAATTCTGAAATTCACTTTGAGGACGCCTCTCAAAGTGAATTTCAAAGAATGCTGTAGATTTCTTTCAACCGGAAGTTAAACTAACGAGGACTGAACAAACCCCTGAACAAGTTTGCCCCAGCGCATCACATCTGAATGCTCCCTGCCTTCTCACCTCTGCCATCGGTCCCAGTCGGAGGCCCTGCCATCTGAGCAGCCAGAGGACTCTTCTGCTCAGGCTCTCAGCTTCTGTTCGGTGAAAGGAGATGAGCGTTTATGATAGCTGCTTGGGAGCAAAGTAGGATGCGCTTGAGGATTGCCTTCGTGCTAGCGGAAGCGCTTGGCGTCTCTCCTGTAAGACTTGGTTGATTGAAAGGCGCAGTGCACTGAAGTCAAGAATTGCGGAACTTACAATCTACGAATGTGATGAGCTCCTCTCAGTCTTGCAACCAGGTTCAAGGGTTCCAGCCGTGCAGCATCAGCTCAGGAAGTTGACTGTTTTACTGCAGAGTCGCAGAAATTCCTGCATATTTTGTACCAAAATAGGGGAGGATCACATCTGGAGCGCACAAGCGCTTGTCTGCACTGGGTCATCTGACTTGATGGATGCTCTGACGGAATCAATTGCTCATCGTCGAACCGCGTCAGCAGGCTTCGACCTTCAGCCGCTTTCGACAGTCCGTGAGGGATCCCGAACGCGAGCTTGTTCAAGATTCTCAGGCTCGATGGCGTCATGTTGCCTGCACGAGCGCAACCGCCAGAGCAGAGGTCGACTCTACAGATCTGAGCCGTCCAATCCTGCGATCGTTGATCATCAGCGGCTGCTTGGCTGGCAGATTCCTCTGCGTGCCGCAGCCTTTCCGAGGAGGGTTGCGTGAACAAAAGCTTGCCTCTTGGGTATCAGGGCTGCTGTGCGTACATATTTGACAACTTAACCACTGCACGAGGCAGGAAGCCTTCCTGGAAGGCGCATCGAAGAATCGCGCTGTAGCTGAGTAGGCTAAGTTGCAGCACAGCATACAAGGGTGTATCGTCTTCCTCAGAGCAGTCTTACCTAAGAATCGTGATAAAGTGCGCCTTGCATCTGCAGATGCGAAGCATGCTCAGAGCAAAACTAGCACATTATCCTCCAACGAAAAGAAGAAGCCTGAGCATCTTATCTCGCCGTGCACTTCAGCGCTAGCAACACCGACTGACTCTCCGACAATCAACCCAGCGCATCCAAGTCTCTCACTAGGGCGATCTGCGACAACTCTCAAACAGAGTTCACAACTCTCTCAGATCACTCCTTGTTCACAGCTTTTTGTTCCAGCCGCTCGAGAATGGCGCAGCCCAACCCCGCGGCCGCGTGCGCGGGTACCACTACTTTCTGCGTTTTCCTCGCGGCAGTGATCACGGGCATCGTGCTGCTTTCCATCTCGTTCCACAAGATCAGCTCCACGGAGGTGGGGCTGCAGTACAACAGAGTGACCAAGAGCCTCTCGTCGAAGCCCGTGGGGCCTGGGCTGCACAATGGCCCTCCAGGGTTCAAGTTCGTCAAGGTGAGCAAGGAGAAGGAGTTGAGGTATTGGCTGGACCAGAATGGACCATGGGTTTGTTCAAAGTATGATGCTGATGGCAAACATACAAGTGGACCTGTTCGTTGATTAAGAGGCCCGAGTCTGGCGGCAAATCTATGCAAGTAGGCTTGCAGCAGATTAGGTCAAACTCGAGAGAAGGTATATCTTTCTGTCTCTCCATGGCATTCGCATCTCCTACGTCGAGATGTCAGAGGGAAGAACTTGGTGTCTTGTGTGCGTGTGTTCGAGTTCTAGTCATCCATTTGAAGAGGATATATCTGATTGTCGGCTACTTTTGTGCGGAGATGTGGTTACGATGTC